CTGCGGGGCCGAGGAGGAGAGGGCGGTGCGGTCATTGCCAGGTGAGGGAGAGGGCTCCCCCCAGGTGGAGGTTTCCCTATCCCCCGCTCTCCCTCCCCCGCCTCAACATCTCCCCTGAAGACCAACTGCACCCCCTGGCCTTGCCCCTGCTGACTAGCCCTCCACCTTGAGGGGAGGGGTAGCTCAGTGGTTTGAGCATTGGACTGCTAAACCCAGGGTTGTGAGTTTAATCCTTGAGGGGGCCATGGTACTTGGCTTGGGACAGGGATGGTGCTTGGTCCTGCTGTGAGAACAGGGGACTGGACTCAATCACCTCTCAAGGTCCCTTCTAGCTCTATGGGGTGGTATATCTCCACCTTGGAGGGCTGGACGCTTGTCCGGGGGAAGCGCAGAGCCTGCCATTCGCGGGCTCAATCTCCCCCCTCCGATGAGGAGGAGACCCAGTGCTGCTGAGAAGGCCCCCAGCGGGCGTCAGCAGGAGGCGCCGACTGAGGAAGCCGTGGCAATGAGGGTGGACGATGCTGTCCCCGCTGTGGAGCCAATCCGTGAGGGAGCCTCCCTGGCCCGGTATCAACTGCAGCCCCCGCTGTCACCGTCGAGGTAATTGTTGCCTCGGCGGCTGGTGGAGAAGGCTCTGGGGCCGAGGGGATGGAACATGTCTAGAAAATAAAGCCTTTTCCAAAAGATCCCTTATTCCTTATTTTAAGAGGAATAAGGGATCTTTTGGAAAAGGCTTTATTTTCCGAAAGATCCGCTTTTTTCTGGGAAAGCTCTGAGCCGGAAAAAAGCGGCAGCCATGGTTATGCAAATGAAGCAGGGGAGGCTTTAAATCCCCGCTTCATTTGCAATTGCCATGTGTCTAATTTGCATCCCTTTTACAGAAAAGGGATGCAGTCTAGACACAGCCCTGGACTGTGACTGGGGGACTGGGTGGATGCCTGAACACTCGCTCAGTGCATGGGACTCCCCACCCCCCGAACTGCCCTATGCCTACTTCAGGAGGTGAAGGCGGCTTTGCCGCAGCCCGCTCTCGGTTTTCTGCAGCAGTCCCTGCAAGAGGGTACACCCCACCCCTCCCTTCCTCCAAACCCTCCGTCTTTAGTTATCGGGTCCCTGTTCCGCGGGCCCCCCCGGTTTCCCCATCCCTGGACCGCTGGCTGGCTGCAGGATTTGCAGCCAGTCTGTTTCCAAACCGTGCCAAGAGACCATCTGTACATGCTCGTGATCCACACATTTCCTCACCCTCGTGTCCCGCCCCGACAGTAAGTGGTGGGACTACTTAAGACTAATAGAGGGTGAAGAACCTCGCTGGGTCAGCGTATATTCCACCTTAAACCCGTGGCCCATTGGGGACATTAGTTCATAGAATCATAGAATCATAGGACTGGAAGGGACCTCGAGAGGTCATAGAGTCCAGTCCCCCGCCCTCAAGGCAGGATCAAGCTCAGTCTACACCATCCCTGACAGATGTCTATCTAACCTGTTCTTAAATATCTCCAGAGAGGGAGATTCCACCACCTCCCTTGGCAATTTATTCCAATATTCATGGAGCTTCATGGAGCTGTGAGCACGGGCATGTACCTGGCCACGGTTCACCCCTGTCCCAGAGACCTGCCCGTTTTGCAGGGTGAAGGAAAACCTGGCGCACACGTATTTAGAATGCACCAGGTTGCAACCCCTATTCTTTTCCCCTCGCTTTTTTATTTATGCACACCCTATCCGTGGCCCCACAAAGTCATGAGACCTCCTTGTCAACCTCCTCCTGGCCCTGGCAAAAGCTACTTTAGGAAGAGGATGCTAGATGAGGGGATTCTCTGCGACTGTGGGGCCTATTTTCGGTCCTCCTTTGTGTCACACATCCAGGCAGAGTTCCTCTGGGTGGCATCCACTAGATCCATCGACAGCTTTGATGGAGCAGTGGACGCTGTCCAGGGTTCTCTCCTTGGTGTCTGGTTCCCTTGTTTTAAACCTTTGAGCCCCACACCTTGATCCTGTTATGTCATTATTTGTCCCCAGAAATTAGTTAGACCCTGGGTCTAGTCGTTCCTCCCACAGGGCTGGGGGAGGGATTCTGAGAAGTGGGTGGGCTGCGCCCAGCCACCTCTCCCATGGTTTTCCAACTAGTGCCCCACTACCCTGACCATCCCATCATGGTCCATGCAAATCTGGTTCCCATATCTCCACCGCATGGCGGTAGCTCCACCACTCCAGTTTCCTCACAGCCACAACCTCCTCTCTCAGAACCAAGCAAGCTACCCCATCCTCAGCCTTGAGCCTTTCACCTTCATGCCTGGCTTCTCTCTGGTTCCATGGACCTTAGTCCCAGTGCTCTGATCAAGTGAGAGCTACAGTAGGAGGCCATCTACTAGACTTTCTTACCCGTAGAAATGGAAGCATTTTTCCCTCTGCTGTCAACAAGCTCACCTCATCCCCAATACTACTTCACTGCCTGTTGTCCCAGATTGTATGTTACACCTAAAGACCTCTGGGCTATACCTCTCTTCCCTGGAGGTACACCTGGAAGCAATAGCAACCTTCCATGAAGCAATAGAGGGGTCATCTGTCTTCATGCACCTCACTATGACGAGATTCCTTCAGAGTCTCCTGGGATGCGTCTAGACTACATGGCTCCATCGACGGAGCCGTGTAGATGAGTTTACTAGACATAGCAAAATGAAGCAGCGATTTAAATAATCGCCGCTTCATTTACATCAAAATGGCCGCCACGCTGTGCCGATGATCAGCTGATCCGGAGCAGTCTAGATGCGCCGCAGTTGACAAGGGAAGCCTTTGTCGAATACTCCGGTAAACCTTGTTTCATGAGGCATACCTGACATTCGCATCCTGCGTTTCTACCAAAGATCAGTTCCTCATTCCACATCCATAAGCCTATAGTGTTGCCCATCTTTTATCCAAAACCTCATGCATCCCCTAAACGGTCAATGATACACCCCTTAGACATACAGCGAGCATTAGCCTTCTATACAGACAGGACTCGTGACTTTCCTAAATCTCCGTGCCTCTTTATCTCCATCACCAAATGGAGGCAGGAGAAAGGGTGCGCTGATTTCAACCCAGCACATCTCCAAGTGGATCTTCTCCTATCAAGTCAGTTGTTACTCCCTGTGAAGGGGTGTGACCATCCCCATGGGTCCAAACCCCTTCTTTCCGCCTTTTTACGTATTGCCAAGCTTTGGCCCCTCGGGGGAGGAGGGGCTGCTGTGGCTTCTCCTTAAGCTTTTACCCCGAGTGGGGTGTGAGGGGGGGCTGGGCCCTCCCTCTCTCCAGGCCCCAGCCCAGGGCCCTAAGGTGGGGGTGTCCTCCTTGTCCCCTACCCACCTAGCTGACTGGGCTAACTGCTGCAACTCGTCAGCCCGCAAGCGAGACTCCAGCCGCCCGCCCTGAGCCACTTCCTCACCCCCGCTCTCCCTGCCCTTATTCCTGCTACTCCTCCCCTGCTCTAGCCCCTTCTCACCTGTTTTCTCATCCTTGCCCCCACCTGTGTTGTCCATCCTCTCTTTTGAAAGTCCTCCCGGCCCCTTCCTGCCATTCTCCTATGCACCTGCGCTGGCATCCTCCGTCCTTCCGCCTCCCCTGCTCCCGCAGGCACTCCCTGACCTGCCTAATGTGCATGCGCCGGCGTCTTCCTGGCTTGCACCCAAGGCGCATGCGCTAGCATCCGCCAGGCCGCTGTTTGCCTGGCACGTTCCAGCCACTGCCCTTTCTCCTGCCACGCGGAGGTCAGCCAGCCGCCGTCTTTCATGCCCTGCACGATCCGGTTTGGGCTGCAGGGTTCCATCACCACATCACACTCCCTCTGGAATAAACCACTCATCTCCATTCCAAGAGCACACTCCCTGCGTGCAACTGCAACCTCTGTGGCTTTCCTGAACATGTACCACTCACAGACATTTATTGAGAAGCTACTTGGAACTCTGACCACACCCGCGCCAGGCATTATGCCATCATGCCTCAATTGTCAGCTGGTACAGCCGTGGCTCCAGCGGTGCTAGCTTGTGCCGCCAAGCAGAGACTCCAACTCCCACCTTCTGTAGCAAGTATTTCTCTGTAGTCACCAGCAGTGGGGCACCCCGGGGACACACACCTCAAAGAACGGTCATTAATGCACACAATGAGAAACTTCCTTATGTGCTCCAGAGACTTTTGAGCTGGCCGTTTGTTACATCTGCTAAAAGGCTGCATCAAGAACTTGGGGATAGACGTGTGTAATGGCTTCTCCTTAACGATCCTCCTCTCTGCCTTTTCTTTCTTGTATTAGTAACCCCTTAGGGTATGTCTACACTACAAAGTTAATTCGAACTAACAGACGTTAGAATTAACTTTGATAGGCGCTACGCATACAAACCACTAGTTCGAACTTAATTCGAACTAGCGGAGAGCTTAATTTGAACTAGGTAAACCTCATTCTACGAGGACTAACGCCTAGTTCGAATTAAGCAGTTTGAATTAAGGGCTGTGTGGCCACTTAATTCGAACTAGTGGGAGGCTAGCCCTTCCCAGCTTTCCCTGATGGCCACTCTGGGCACCACCAGGGAAACTCGTCTGCCCCACTCCCGGCCCTGAGCCCTTAAAGGGGCACGGGCTGGCTACGGTGCCCGTGCCAGGTGCAAGCCTGCCAGCATCCAGCCAGCAGACCCTGCACCGGGCACGGCACGAGCCAGCCACCCGCTGCCACCCAGCCCTCCGCCTCTTCCCGGGACCAGGCTGGCGGGGGCC